GCAGGGACTCGGAGCTGTCCTGATCTCGGGTCAGCTCTGGGAGGCCCCTAAACTCTTCTCCTGCTTGGGATAGACGTGGACAATCCCCAGGGAAGCAGTGCTTTTGGGAAAACAGCCTTGGCTGCTCCTGCCTTTGGCACCTGTGCTGTGTCAGAGCAGGGCCTGAGGTGACACCGAGGCTGCTCTTGGTGGGACAGGGAGAGGACAAGAGGGAACGGCCTCCAGCTGTGCCAGGAGAGGGTCGGGTTGGATACTGGGAACAATTCCTTCCTGGAAAGGGCTGTGCAGCCCTGGCACAGCTGCCCAGGGCAGGGGGGAGTCCCCATCCCTGCAGGGATTTAAAAGCCCCGTGGAGGTGGCACTTGGGGACACGGGTGAGGGGTGGCCTGGGCAGGGCTGGGGGAGCAGTTGGGCTCGATGGACTCTGAGGGTTTTTCCAACCCAAATTATCGGTGGTGACAACGGGAGCTCTTTGCTTGTGGGAAAGGGTCACTGCTGGTGTGTAGAGGACCCTTTGGCCCACCCGGGTGTGGTCAGACCTGGCTTGGGAGGTCTCTGGGCTGGTCTCCAGGGGAGTGGCCGGGGCGTCCCTGCCCCAGGTTCTCAGGAATTCGCTGCTCACCCTCCCAATGTTCATCCAGTCAGAGCTGGGGCCGTGCTCCAGGTTGGACACTTCAAAATCCACCCCCCTCCCTCCCCATCTCCCAGCAGGGACACTGCCCTGCCCCTGTCCCCTGGAGTGGACGCTGTCCCTGTCCCCTGGCAAAGCCCTGATGGCTCTCCCCGAGTCCCGGCTCCGGGGGTTCAGGTACTGCAGTGGGTGTGGAGCCCGGTCTGTTCGATGCTATTACTGAAATATTTATTGTGTTTGAACCAAACGAAAAAAACTATTAAAGATCAGTAAAGAATAAAATTTTCCACGCCTTTTACGGGTGTTTGTCTTTCCTTTCTGCTGAACGTGCTGAGGGTGGAGGTGCAGCAGGGAAGGGGCTGGAGGGCAGCGGGCACAGGTGGATTCCTACAATGACAGGGTGGTCGGGGGGGGAAGGGACCTTAAAGACCATCTCATTCCATGGGCAGGGACACCTCCCACCAGCCCAGGTTGCTCCA